AGTAAGATAGGCTGATCCAGCCTAAAAGGCATTGCAGTGTGTTAAAATTAGAAACTTTTGTGAGCCATCCATAGCACTGAGCTCTGCCTAGCCCCAAGGGAAGGCCCCAGACTTTGTGTTAGAGCTCTGCTGTAACAGCACCTTCATCTGTGGCCACTCTGTGAGTCCTGTCTGGACCACACTAGGTCCAAGACCTGATCTGTAACTCACCTCTCATTTGCAATTCAAGACAAAGCTCCTTGTCTGGGTCTCAGGAATTATATAGCTGTCATTTATGGTTCAGAAACTGTTCATTCTGTTTTATTTTTTAAAATAATTTTAATGGATTTTATTTATTTTTTTTTAAGATTGGCATCTGAGCTAACAACTCTTGCCAATCGTTTTTTTTTTTTTTTTCCTGCTTTATCTTCCCAAATCCCCCCAGTACATAGTTGTATATCTTAGTTGCAGGTCCTTCTAGTTGTGGCATGTGGGATGCCGTCTCAACGTGGCCTGACGAGCGGTGCCATGTCCACGCCCGGGATGCCAACAGGCGAAACCTTGGGCCGCCGCAGCGGAGCACGCAAACGTAACCACTCGGCCACAGGGCCAGCCCCGAATTTTATTGTTTAGAGCGGTTTTGGGTTCACGGCAAAATTGAGTGGAAAGTATAGTGAGTTCCCATGTATCCCCTGCCCCCAAACATGCACAGCCTCTTCCGGTGTTACGGGCTGCAGTGTCCTCCCAAATTCATATATTGAAGTCCCAACTCCTAGTATCTCAGAATGTGATCATATTTAGAAATAAGCCCTTTAGGGCCGGCCCCATGATCAAGCAGTTGTGTTCCTGCACTCTGCTTCGGTGGCCTAGGGTTTTGCTGGTTCGGATCTTGGGTGCTGACATGGCACCGCTCATCAGGCCATGCTGAGGTGGCATCCCACATAGCACAACCAGAAGGACCTACAACTAAAATATACAAGTATGTACTGGGGGGCTTTGGGGAGAAGGAGAAGAAGAAAAAAGAAGAAGACTGGCAACAGGTGTTAGCTCAGGTGCCAATCTTTAAAAAAAAAAAAAGAAAAGAAGATCTTTAAAGGGATGATTAAGTTGAAATGAGGCTTTTAGGGTAGAAGCCTAATCTTATATGATTGGTGTCCTTATAAGAAGAGGGAAAGACACCAGGGCTGCGTGTGAACAGAGGGACGACTGTGTGAAGAGGCAGCAAAAGGGTGGCCATCTGCAAACCCAGGAGAGAGACCTCAACGGAAACCAGCCCTGCCAGCACCTTGACTATAAGTTTTTAACTCATTTGAGTAAATACCAAGGAGCACAATTGCTCTAGCATACAGTGAGAGTATGTTTAGTTTTGTAAGAAATTGCCAAATTGTCTTCCAAAGTGGTTGTGCCATTTTGCATTCCCACCAACAATGAAAGAGTTCCTGTTGCTTTACTTCCTCACCAGCATTTGGTGTTGTCAGTGTTCTGGATTTTGGCCATTCTAATAGGTGTGTAGTGGTACCTCATTATTGTTTTAATTTGCAGTTCCCTAATGTTGATTGATTTGAGCATCTTTCATATGCTTATTTGCATCCATATATCTTCTTTGGTGAGGTATCTGTTCAGATATTTTGCCTGTTTTTTAATCAGGTTTTTTGTTTTCCTATTGTTGAGTTTTAAGAGTTCTTTGTATACTTTGTATAGTTGTCCCTTATTAGATATGTCTTTTGCAAATATTTTCTCCCATTCTGTGGCTTGTCTTCTCATTTTCTTGACAATATCTTTCATGGAGAAAAGCTTTCCACTTTATTGACGTCCATCTTATCAATTATTTCTTTCATGGATTATACCTGTGGTGTTGTATCTGAAAAGTCATTGCCAAAACCAAGGTCATCTAGGTTTTATCCTATGTTATCTTCTAGGAGTTTTACTGTTTTATGTTTTACATTTAGGCCTAGGATCCATTTTGAGTTCTTTTTTTTGTAAAAGATGTAAGTTTTGTGTCTAGCTAGATTCTTTTTTTTTTTTTTTTTTTTTGCATGTGGATATCCAGTTGTTCCAGCATCATTGGTTGAAAAGACTATCTTTTCTCCAGTATATTGCCATATTCATTCTATTTTAAAGCCTGTATCTGGCCACCTCAGCCCACTCACTTAAGTCCTTGACTCCCACCTCCATGACAGAATTCATTTTAAGAACTTGTGTTCCAGGTGCTGTGCTGGGCAGCACAGATGCAGAAGGATGGGACATGAGATCCCCAACAGCCAAGAGCTTGTAGTCTCCACTCTGGAGCTGTTACAAGTGCAGATCTGGTGGTTTCATCCTGCCGCCTTACCAACAGATACTTTGGTAGATGGGCTGGATGTGAAGCCAAATATTTGTGGGCTGAGGATTGAATGATGGTAAAGAAATGGAGAGAGGAAGTGTAGGTTTCCTCAAAGGTGTTTGGCTGTGAAGGAAGGAGATTGAGTGACAAGGACCCAGAGGGGAGCCTGAGCAAAGGGAAGATCATTAAAGGGTGGGGGCAATTAAGCCAGTTTATTGTAGATAAGGAGTAGATAAGATCAGGAGTTTGAAAGAAAGAGATTACGTGAGTGATTGGGAAAGAATGAGAAAATGTTTGAGAGAGAAAGGTATACATACACATATGTATATATACACACATACATATACACATGTGTGCACATATACATGCATATGTTTATGTGTATACACACCTCTGTATATATATATGTATATGCATGATATATATACACATATTATATATATATTTATATCAGACTCACACAGAGAGAGAGAAGAGAGAAGGGGAGGAAAAAGAGAGATAGAAAGTATGAGAGAAAGAATTATACATATAAATAATCTGTCTCTCTTTCCTTCTCTGTGTGTGTATAGTCTATCTATCTATTTATCCATCCATCCATCCTTTCATCTATCTTTCTATCTGCCTACCTCTCTAGAGAGAGAGCTTGAGATCAGTCAAAAAAGAGAAGATGAAAGAAGGATGAATCATTGATGGGATGAAGTCTTATAGGAAGAAGGAGGAAATGATTTGATCAAAAGCACAGGTAAAAACTCCCTTAGAGACAGGAGGGAGGAAGGTCAGAATCAGATGCAAGAGAGTGAAGTAACCATTCATATAGGTTGGCCTCTATTTTCTCTGGGAAGATGGGAGGCATGAGAGGGATGAGGATGGAGAAGGGAGCTGGAAGAAAGAGGTAGAGGTTTGATGTATTTTCTCTTGGAAATGAGAAAGTGCGATGCCAAGGATGTGTAGGGTCTCCTAGCAACATAAGGGCCTCACTGAGGATGTAAATCAAACATTTATAATGATGCTCATATGAATGATTCTTTTTTGTTGTTGTTTTCAGAAGCACTCAGCCTGTGGGCAGGAAAGCAGGTGGGTAAGGGTCAAGTGGTCTTGGGGTTAGGCCCGGGGTTGGTGGGAGGGCAGCAGAAAGGTCCTGGTAAGAGCTGAGTGTAATGTAGTTATAGTTGCCAGGCTGTGGAGAGAAAAGTGAGTGTAAGACGAGACTGATAAATGCGGGGAGCTGAAGAGTACAAGAAGCCAGAGGTCTCAAAGAGGTTGAGGAGCACATTTACTTTGATTCCAGGAGTGAGAGAAGTAGAAGGATAGAAGGTTCTGGTTGGAGAGTGGGATGTCCGAGTGTGAGTCATTCATCCAGCTGTCACTCAACATCAGTATCGGCTCTGTGCACTTACTGTAGGAAGCTCTGGGAACAAATCAAAGAATGAAGATGTGGTCCCTGTCCTTAAGGAGTTCACAGCCCAGATTTCAGAGGTGGTGCCTTTCCAGGTGAGGACAAGTTCCAGGATATGTCCTTGGAAATGGTGTGCTGCAAGGGTTTGGAGGGGAAGGTTGGTGGAGCAAAGGAAGCAAAGTGGCTGGCAGGCCAGCATGTTGGATGTGTCATGCACAGGTGTTTATCAGTCCTGCAGAGAAAATTGGAGTGTCTCTCTGCTCAGTCATTTCTCCAGGGCCATGTGTATCCTCTTTCCATCCTGTGATGTGGGAGCTATTTTTCCATTCAAGCCTTTGCATCTCAGACTCTGTGTGACCTCGCTGAGGTCAGTCTGTTGTGGTTTTCGTTAGTGAAGAGTGGAGGGCAAGTGGGTCTCAAAAACCTGCTTCCACACTTTGGTGCAAGAGTCTCTAAAGAACTACCCGTCTTGTGCTTCAAGTTTCCTTTTCTTTCTTGCCCTTAATTTCTTCACCAATAAAATGGAGATAGGAAGGTGCTATAAATCTTTTGTGAGGCAGACACAGCTAGGATAAGTATCTATAAAGACGTAGATAAACAAGCAGAAGTCGATGCTGCAGGAGTCGACAGGAAGCAGTGATGACAAATGAATGAGTGTGTGCATGTGGAGCAGGGGATGCTCGGTTCTCTGGGAGCTCCGGGACTGATTTCATTCTTTCTATGACTTCTAAATGAAGCTCACAAGGAGCCCACTGGCTCTCCTAGCTGAGTTGACCAGAGGTCTTGAGACTTCTGGATGGAAGGCATGGGCTGTGGGAATCCACATATCAGCATTCCAGGTTTTCCATGCCCACACAGAGCTTTGTGAGACCTCATTTCATGGCCCATCTGGGCATTGCTATCTGGCAACCGAATTCCCTTCCTTCCTGTTCCAGAGAGGCTGGCCTGCAAAATTCCCTGACGAGGGGCCACGCAACACATCCCACTAGCTGTTTTGTGAGTTTTGGCTGACAGGAGGGAAGAGGAAGCATGCGTCTTTGATCTTTTACCCCTTGCTTCCCTTTCTGCTCTGACCTTGGGAGGTTGGTTTCTGGCTGTCTGTCAAATTCCAGATTAAACTCAGGCAGTGGGCTTCATCCTCTCAGGGGATGCAATTCCATCTCTTCAGGGGTCCAGACAAATACCACCCAGGTTCATGTTCGTGCTAAGCAGTTCATGACGACACCAGGTCTAATGCGTGATATGATCTCCTGGGCACATGATGGCTCTTTGATATTTTCTGTGCCATTTCTCTCTTTGTAGAGCCTGAGAAGCCAACTGGGGCCAACCAAGATTCAGAACCTCTACTGCCTGATACCAACATCATCAGGGATGAACTTTTCTTACCAGATACTTCTCTGCTCCTGACACACATCTCCCCAGGTAGCTAAGGGGATAATGAGATTTTTTACACCCTCTGCACACTGTGTAATGAGATAGTCCCCTGCATGGGGGCTCACATGCCAAGGATACTCACCGCTGTTACTGAGATGTAAGATGAAATGTACCATCACCAGGCGCGTTTCATTTTGCATATTCAATGATTACACTCAGTATAAATGGGTGGACTCTTAAGGTTCCAGGGAATATGAATTTGTAGCACTGGGAAGGAGGTTACCTCTAAAATGGAAGCCATGAAAATCGTGTACAATGCATGCAATTAGCTGTCCAGTCTAAGAGAGGGCGCCCATAAGACAGGTTGTCATCCCCATCAGGTTACGAACGTGTGTTCAGGAAGTGAACTGGGGTGTAAGTGATGGAAAGAAGCTGTCTCTTTTCAATTGTGCTGCAGTTTGTCAGTAATTAGATGAAGGAGCTTTGGGTGTAGGATGAAAGACAGTTGTTGGAGACTGAGGATTATGAGAATTGGTAGGTGCTGTCCAACGAGACTGTGTTTTGATGCTGGCTGACTGGCCCTAGAGTGTTCTGTAGACATGGTTTTTCTCTAGAATGGTATAGGGTTAATCCAATGGGTTATCGCTGGCTGAAGCCCTGGCTTTGAAAATATACAGCTCCTTAGTCATAATTTGTCCTTGCCAAGATAATCCCCAGGGTTGACTTGTCTGGAAGAGGACCTCATCTAGATCTTGTGCCAAGTGGCTCTCCAGTTAGAATTAATAAACTGGTGTTGGTGGATGGTGTGTTCTCTTGTGGGCTAGGTAAATGTGAGTTGTTCTCCCAGAGCCCATTCCTTTCTAGTCACTGGGAACATTGAGTTGCTGGCCCAGGGCTTGGACCTGTCGCACCCTGATCAAGGCTGCTGGAAGCTGCCAAGTGCCCCTCTCTCTGACACCTTTCTAACTATATTGGTGATGCGCATGAGGGTCACAAACACTGAGAATCGCTGAGGCTGGTCAATGAAATAATGATGTTTGTTCTAGAACAGGGTTTCTCAACCTCGATCCATTAACATTTGGGGCCAGATAGTTCTTTGTTGTGGGGGGGCCTATCCTGTGCATTATAGGATTTAAGCAGTATCCTTGTCCTCTACCCCCACTGCAGTTGTGACAACCAAAAATGTCTCTAGACATTGCCAAATGTCCCCTGGGGGCAAACTGCCCAAGGTTGAGATTCAGTTTTAGGAGCTAGCCAGTGATAAGGACTTCCTTGAGGAACAGAGCACAAATTTGCACTTGGGGGTGGAGGAGTGCTTCATGCCCCTTATCTTTATACTGGTAGGTGTATTAGTCAGGGTCTTCCAGAGAAACAGAACCAGTAGGAGACATATCTATATATATCTTTATATAGAAGTAGATGTATTTTAAGGAATTGGCTTACGCAATTATGGAGGCTGAGAAGTCCCATGATCTGCCTTCGCAAGCTGGAGACCCAGCAAAGCCAGTGGTGTATTCGATCCAAGTCTGAGGGCCTGAGGACCAGGGGAGCCAATGGTGTAAAGCCCAATCTGAGGGCCAGAAAAGATGAGCTGAGCTGAGATGTCCCAGCTCAAACAGTGAAGCAGGAACAAAGGGGCCAATTCTTCAGTCTGCCTTCCTCCACCTTTTCTTCTGTTCAGGCCCTCAGTGGATTGGATGATGCCCACTCCTGTTGGGGAGGGCTATCTCCTTTAGTAAGTTCACCGATTCAAATGCTAATGTCATCAGGAAACACCCTCACAGACACACCCAGAAATAATGTGTAATTTGGGCACCTTGTGGCCAGTCAAATTGACACACAAAATTAACCATCACAGTAGGAGAGGCAGAAATGTTTTAATTACAGGGCAAACCGCCAGTGGAAAGTGTCCAGAGCTACCTGGAGCTGGTCCATCCCTATTAAGGGAGGGCTCAGGGAGAAGGGTTGGGAGTAGCTTTTGGCACTGGGGATCATCCTTTCTCTAATTTCTGCAGACCTTGTCTCAGTGGCAGCTGCCCTGGAAGAATCCCTGCCGAGTCCTGCCCTCTGTCTCGGTGTCCTCACTAAGGTCCTCTGCAACCACTTGAAGAGCTGGCTGTGGGGCAGGGCCAGTGAGGACTCACTCTCCTACCCTGGATCAGATTTATAAAGGAGTCACTAAGTGAAACTCCTCCTGGGCCTGTGCCATTGTAGTTCCTGAGTGCTCAGGCCGAAGGGGATCTCAGAGGTCAGGTAGAGCACTTTGCAGACTTTACTGGGCATCTTGTGAAATGAGACTTCGATTCAGAAGGTCTGGGGTGGTGCCCAAGATTATGTGGATCTCACAGCTCCCGAGTGATGTTGATGCTGCTGGTCCTTGAACCATACTTTGAATAGTAAGAATCCAGGCCAGAGGTCTGCAAACTATGGCCTGTGGGTCAAATTGGGTCTGCCACCTGTTTTTGAAAATAAGTTTTATTGGAGCACACATTCAGTTGAGTAGTTGAGATAGAAACTACATGACCCTCAGAACCTGAAATATTTACTCTCTGGCCCTTTACAGTAAGGGTGTACTGACCCCTTCTCTGGGCTGACTTGTGCCGCATGGACCATGGAGGGTCTTCCTGATTGCTCTTTAGGATGGGCCATGCAGAGGTTGTCTTTCTTCACCCTTGACCCGCCTTCCTTGTCCCTCTTCCTCTTGCCTCTGGCTCCTGCAACCCTCTCCATTAGCGCCTGTGGGATAAGGAGACTTGCGGGAAGAATTTCTGTGCCACAGTGAGGCTCCCATCTTGCGTGTGGTCCTCTCGTAGTCCTGAGGAAGTGCTCTGCTGGGCGTCCCACTCAGAGCCAGTCAGCCCTGGTATCCTTTTAATCCTCAGAGTGTCTCACCCTCAGAAAGACCCTCAGAGACTAATGCTTACAAAGCTCACACCTAATTGCTCTTTTGGTTTTTCAGCCAGCCAGCCGACATTTACTGAGAGCCACCTTTCATCAGGCACCGTGCTAGATGCGTGGGTAACACAGTTTATAAGATGCCTCTTCAGTCTAGGAGACAGACGTGTAAACTGATAATTCCAATTACAGTATCATAGCTGCAATATTAGAAGAATATTTGGATACTTTGATAGCCAAAGAATGGGGTCTGGAGGATCTGGAGCATCAAGGCAGTAGAATTTTTTTTTTTTTAAATCATGAATTTTTAGTAAATTTTACACAAACATTTTTTTCATCTATTGACATGATATGTTTCCCCTGATAGTCTATAAATGTGACAGATTACAATTATTTACTTGCAATATTTTTTATAAGTGAGATACCATCTTTTACTTAAAATTAAGCCTTATTCATAGTGTGATATAAATTAGAATTTTGTGGACATCAATTTTAATATTACTGTAAGATAATTCTGCTACCATTCCTGTTAAAACAAAAGTTTGAATACAGGATCCTCTGACTGAAGTAACCTTCAAAATTCACTGTTGTCCCTCATCAATACCTTATTTTTATTATTATTAGTTTTTAAAACTGTGCTGGAATACATATAACATAAAATTTGCCATCTTGACCAATTTAAGCATACAGGTCAGTGGCATTAAGTATATTTACATTCTTGTGCAACCATCACCATCATCCATCTCCAGAACACTTTTCATCTTGCAAAACTGAGACTTTGTACCCAGTACCCATTAAACAATAACTCCCCACCCCCCCGCCCCCAGCCCCTGACAACCACCGTTCTACTTTCCGTCTCTGTGACTCTGACTACTCAGGGTACTTAATATAAGCGGTATCAAACAGTATTTGATCTTTTGTGACTAGCTCATTTCACTTAGCATGATGTCCTCAAGATTCATCCATGTTGTAACATGTGTCAGAATCTTACTCCTTTCTAAGTCTGTGAGTAATATTCTATTGTATGTATATACCACATTTTATTTATCCATTCTTCTGTGGATGGAATACTTTTAATTAATTCTACCTTTAGGCTACTGGAATAATGCTGCATAATAATTGGTGTACAAATATCTGTTCAAATCCCTGCTTTCAATTCTTTTGGGTGTATCCCCAGAAGTGGAATTGCTGGATTATTTGGTAATTCTATTTTTAATTTTTTGAGGAGCTGCCGTACGGTTTTCTGTAGTGCCGCCACAATTTTACCTTCCCACCAACAGTACAAGGGTTCCAATTTCTCCACATCCTCTCCAACGGTTGTTATTTTCTGGTTTTTTTGATAGTAGGCATCCTCATGGGCGTGTGGTGGTATCTCATTGTGTTTTTGATTGACATTTTCCTAATGATTAGTGACGTTGAGCATCTTTTCATGTGCTTAGTGACCACTTGTGTATCTTCTTGGGAGAAATGCCCTTTCAAATCCTTTGCCCATTTTTTACTCAGTTTGCTTGTTTTCTGTTGTTCTTGAGTTGTAGGAGCTCTCTATATAATCTGGATATTAACCCCTTATCAGATATATGATTTACAAATATTTTCTCCAATTCCGTGGGTTGCCTTTTCACTCTGTTGTTTGTGTCCTTTGATGCACAGAAGTTTTAAGTCCTGATATAGTCCAATTTTTCTATTTTTACTTTTGTTGCCTATGCTTTTGATGTCATATCCAAGAAATCCTTGCCAAATCCAATGTCATGAAGCTTTTCAATTATGCTTTCTCCTAAGAGTTTTATAGTTTTAGCTCTTATGTTTAGGTCTTTGATCTATTTTTGGTTAATTTTTTCATATGGTGTCAGGCAAGTTCAACTTCATTCTTTTGCATGTGGACGTTCAGTTTTCTCAACACCATTTGCTGAGATTGTCCTTTCCGCATTGAACGGTCTTGCCACCCTTTATGAAAATCATTTGACCACATATATGAGAAAGTATTTCTGGGCTCTCTGTTCTATTCCATTGGTCCGTATGTCTGTCTTTATGCCAGTACCACACTGTTTTGATGACTGTAGCTTCGTAATAAGTTTTGAAGTCAGGAAGTGTGTGACTTTCAACTTGGTTCTTTTTCAAGGTTGTTTTTGCTATTTGGGATTGCTTGGAATTCCATATGAATTTTTGTATGGATTTTTCTGTTTCTGAAAAAAAAGCAGTAGGATTTTGAGACTGCCATAGAACTTTTTTTTTAATGAAGTGTTACTTTGTTATCATTCTTATTTTGTTCTTCTACTCCCCAAAGCCCCGCAATACATAGTTGTATATTCTGGTTGTAGGTCCTTCTAGTTCTGGTATGTGGGATGCCACCTCAGCATGGCTTGATGAGTGGTGCCGTGTCCACGCCCAGGATCCAAACCAGTGAAACCCTGGGCCAGTGAAGCAGAGTGCATGAATTTAACCACTGGGGCCCGGGGCAAGCCGTGCCATAGAACCTTTTAATTCTCTCTTCAAGGAAACATTTGTCAGACAGATAAGGTTCCGAGGGGCATTTTAGGCAAAAGAAAGAGCACAATGAAAAGCGTGAGAAGATAAAAGAGCATAGTGTATCTGGAGAACTAAAAGTAATCTAGTATCATGGGAGAATTAGACATACTTGTATCTCTGTGTATATGTGTGTGAGTGTAGATTCAAGTGAGAGATGAATTAGGAGCTAAGGTAGGGGTCAGATATTGTAGAAGTGGACGTGTGTTGTGTTAAGAAGTTTAATGGGGATTAGTTGAAGGGTGGCGCTGTGGACTAAAGTGATCAGATTAGTACTCTATAAAGATGACCCTGTTTTTGAGAGTAGGTGCTAGATTGAGCAGGAAGAACGTGTTGGCAGTGTTGGCAGAAGGAGCAGGTAGGAGCTATTGCAAAACTCCCAGAAATGAAATGATGAGATGGCACTGTGGTAGAATTAGTGGGGATTGATAGGAGGGAATGGATCTGAAATAGCCTCGTCCTACTACATACCCAGACATGTTCCAGTGGCCCCTGGATCCTGAAGTCCTCAGACCTGCAGAACAGTCTCAGAGCTCAGCTTGGTGGTTCCAACTATTCGCCTGTATCATCCAGTTTTAGGAACTCAAACGGCTATTGAGGTAGGCCTTGTGCTCTGCCTCAGAGGTGCAGGGGTCCTTCAGCAGTAGCCAGCCCCTTCTCAGAGCCCCTGAAGCTCCCATTCCTCAGCCTGTCACTCTCGGGGCCTCTGGCTGCCCCAAGGACCTTGTGATCATTTCTGTCTTACCTGTGCATTGGTCTGTCTTTCCTTGCTTTGGTCTTCCATTGGAGTCCAACACAGTGAGAGTTGTCTTTTCTGTTGTGACCCATTCCATTCACTTGTGGAATTGCAGCTCTCCAGGCCTTCTAAATGTAGCCCATGTTTCCAACATCCATGACCCACCTGAGAACCTGTTTCTTCTCCATGGACTAGAGCCTTCTGCTTCTCTAGCTTTCCCAACCTGCCATCCTGCCACACCGTGTGACTCAGTTCCCCATCCTCAGCTAGAGCAGCATTGAATAGGAGTCGTCAGGGTCTTCGCAGCTTCTCTCCCCTCTATCATCAGGAGCTCTCTGAGGGCTTCGCTGAGTGAACTGGGTAAGGATAATGTCAGGTCTGGGCTGCGGCAGCCAAGCCGCTGAAACTGAGATCCCAAGTCCCTGTTCTGAACCCTGGTGGGACGGTTCCGCTGATGGGCAGGCTGTGGCCGTGTTCGGTTGACCATCACAGTCACAGGTGGAGTCACGGAGCTGCGGGCAGGGAGTGGGCTCAAGCTCCCAAGTTCTTGTGGGCATTTTAGACCTGGAACCGCTTTGGCAGTTGTGGAATAGCCAGCTCTGGCCCATTGCCAAGGACACGCGTTTGGTGACCTGTGGGATGAGACAAACTGATCGAAGTACATGGGTGCCGTCAGAGGAGGGGACAGCAGAGACAGGAGAGGAGCGGCCTGTGGCTTGGGATTCCAGTGCTGTGATTAAAGTGACTAGGGGCTGTGCCTCAAAGGCGAACCGGGGAGAAGGCAAGAAAAAGCGCCAGGAAAGGTGAGGGAGAAGTGTTCAAATGTGTTGGGAGGAGATGGGGAAGAGAAAGGAGAGAGGCCAGGAAAAACAGAGACTTGAGGAGTTGCCACTGCCTTGAGAGCCAAGAAGCTTGCCCAGAGCAAAGAGGACAAGACCCCAGATCACAGGCAGGAAAGGCTGGCTGGCATTTAGGAGGCTGACTCTTTGTTCTTGAGCCCGGGCTACCTGGAACATAGCCGCAGGAAAGCAGAATGTGTTCTCATCACTCACTTTGTGTTCCCAAACAGAAGAGAAGAGAGGGAGGGGCCGCTGTGATCCTGCTGAAGCCTTCTCCAGGCAGCCTCCTCTGGATGCTGTGGCGGGGCTGACATTCCACGGCAGCGCGGAGCCGGTGATCGCGGAGCACGGGGACATGGCTTTGCTCAGCAACATCCTGGCGGCCTATTCCTTTGTCTCAGGTAGTTGTCCCTTCTTGGCTGGGCCAGGGCTCTCTCCTGGGTGGCCATCCCTGGCCTTCTACTCAGGAGAGAAATGCTATGCCATCATAGCGGGGCTGTGCTGTGCTGAGTTTTGAGATGAAAAGTCTTCTGGTTTGAGAGTTCAGCTTGGCATTCTCTGCTTTGGCAAATGAGGGTTTCTAAGAGCTTTATCTTGCTGAAAATGTTTGGTTTTCTTTTGGGGCTTGAGTGAGTGAATGAAGTAGCTTGGGGCTGTTGCCTGCTTCTGTCATGATGCATTTAAATACATGAAAGCACACCTCAATAAAGCAGAAATTAAAAAAAATATATGAAAATGCTCCATGGTTTGAGTGACCAAACTGATTTTCCGATGCTTGAGTGAGTTTTTAATTTTTTGATGTTTTGCTTTTGCTTTGTTTGTTTTGCCTGATGTCTCCGGATGCTGTATAAAAAGGAAGGGACTGAAGTTCCGATTAGAATTCCTCTGGGCAAGGACTGGTTTTATTTTCTAATTCTCTAGCCAGGGTTGATGTGTGGTGACCTAAGAGTTCAAATGCAAAGCCTGACATTTCGGTTTATAACGGTGACTCTGAGCCAGGGCCGAGGATAAAGGAAGCTCGTGGCTTCTCTTTGTCTTGGATGGCGTGCAGCCTGATTTTAGAAAGGAGGACTACTCAGGGCTTACCTGGCTGGCTCCTTTCTGGTTGACAAGATGCACCACGTAGTCTGCGTGTGCCTCCAGTCCAGGACTCTCCCTTCTTGGATCAGCAAAGGCCCAGGTCATCAGTTAGCTCCTTACCCCGCAAGGAAGTCCGGTGCCTGGGGCCTCCTTACCCGGGCACCCACACATCATAGGAATCTCAGCTTTGCTCTTTGTTTAATGCTGTGCTGGGAAGAAAGGACACTGGAACTGGAAAAGAGATGTTTCAAACTCTGGTATCATGTTTCACAAGCAATTGAATGATGATCCCTTAACTCTATAGTGAAGACATCCCCCAAATGAAGTGGGAGATGGAGGCAGGGAGGGTCTGGAGTTTTCAAGGCCTCAAAGGACACTTGCAAATCAGCTGTTGCAAGAAAATGTCTTGGGTGAGAGCAAACAGGGTGCTGGACTTTGGAGCTCTGCTCAGCACAGGAGGTACCTGGCAGTTTTCCATTTTGGTCAGCATGACCCTGAGTGGTGACCATTGAACGTGGAAGCTCACTCAATACGCTGGTGTTTACTGTGTGTCTTGTGATCTTGTTAAGGCTGAAAGGGTGCATCGCCCTGTTTTTCTCTCCCCTCCAACCTTTCTCCTTCCCACACCATATTCTAGAATTAAATATTGCTTGGGATACAGGAAGACAATACTTTCAAGTAAGTATGGACTGAGATAAAAAGAGAATGCAAAGAAATGGAAAGTAGAGTGGCTAAAATAAGTAGAGTGTTGGATCCAGTAAACAGACTTTCTGGCTGAAAATTGCTACTGAATGTGGAGAAAGAACACTCCCTGACTATAAAGTAAATGAATTAAGAAAATTTAAAATATGAAGGTAAATATAACAGATAATCATTAACAGAAGTAAATAGAACAAATGGATCGGAAGCAGTAATGAAAAGTATGATAGAAGAAGATTGTTGAAAATTTCCTAGTCTTGTAGCTCTCTCCTGTTCTTGTTCAGCTATGTCTAGTCTTCAACTCCATAGGGGCCCCCAACCCCTCCTATTTTCTCCCAGCATATCAGTTGCCTCTTATCTTGTCCGTGTGGTCCATCATCTCGGCAACACACTTGCTAATACACACCACTCCTTTATTCCTTTGTCCAGCTTCAGATTAAGCCAACAGGCAAAATCCTAACTCTCAGCAAATCCTGTTTTCTTCTCCATCTCTCCCTGCACTCAAGTTACTAAAAGTTGCTACAACTTTGCAGATTGAAGCCATTAGAGATTCATGGTCAGCAAACCTCAGCTGAGCCTTTCAAATAGTGCTTCCGTCTTGCCGGTTGCTCTTGGAAACATCTTGTTCCCATTCTTCGCAATAGCCATTTCAAACCTTGACCATTCCAATAACTTTAAATATCTGTTTATCAAAATGTACCCTAAAATTAAATGGCAAATGCATGCTAAGAAAAAAAATTGTGGTGTTAATGAAGAAGGATAAAGTTTATAATATATAAAGAGCTGTTACAAATCAATGAAAAGATGTGTCCCAAAAAAAAGGGGACAAAGGATAAGAATCAGCAGTTTGCCAAAAAGATTTTAAAAATACAAGTCACGGATAAAACATAAGCAGCTCAAATTCTAGCAATTAAACAAATGGAAAATGAAGAGAACATGAGGTTAACATTTTATTTTATAAAATTTTCAAAGATTTTAGCATATTTGCTGCTGAAGTGAGCACAAAATTCTCAAAGATTTGAGTGATTAAGTCTATAACTTCAGTTTTGGAGAAAGAGTGGGGAGATGAGGACCTGTACATAGTGCCAAGGGGATTGTAAATTGCTACAACCTCTCAAGAGAATGATTTGGGAACATCTGTGCAAAGCCTTAACTTGACTTCTAGAATTTATCCTAAGGAAATTATTAGGGATATGGGCAAAAATTTTACTATGAGAACAATTTGTCTCATAACTGTTTATAATAGTAAAAAGTCAGAAAAATGGGTGGATATTAGTTGAAGTTGAAAGATGTTTAGGATGTGCTGTTGGGTGAACAAAGCCTGTTACCATACAAGAAATGCAGCATAATCCCATTTATGTGTGTATACGCATATGTATATGTAACCACATTTTACTGCAAATTCTATCTGGATGCTGGGATTGTTGAATGTGTGTCTCTCTTTTTTTATCACATGAAACAACAACATTTTATTTGGCCTTGATTCAGTGGGTCAGGAATTTGGGCAGATATCAGTGGGACACTTCGTATCTCCTTCACTTCTGTGGTCTCAACTGGAATGGCTTGAATGGCCAGGCACTGCCTGGGATGGGTAGGTCTCTCTCTTCTAATTCTCTCATCTCATTCTCTCACTAAAGTGGGAGGATCCAAGATAGTCTCACTCATCTTTGTGGGGCCTTTTTGCTGACCGTCAGCTGGGGCCATGGTTAGTCTCTCATTCTCTAGCACATTCTCCATTTGATCTCTCTCTCCAGCAGACTAGCTTGGACTTCTTTACATGGTAGCTGGGTTCCTTCTCTGCCTGTGTGGAAGACCTCATAAGACCTGGATTTGGACATCTCAGTGTCCCAGAATGTCACTTCTATCTCATTCTGTTGGTCAAATCACAGGTCCAGCCTGGATTCAAGGGGATTGAGTCTTGATAGAAGGAGTAGCAAAGTGACATTCTGTGTCTGTCTGTTTTTAATTTTCTTTTGCTTAGCTGTATTTTTAAGTATTCTGTACTTCATTGATATTACTTTTGTAATAAGTAATGTTATTTTATTGCAATTTAAAATTTTAAATTACATCATACGTATATTTAAAAAATTATCATTTCTTTACTCTTTTCTGACTTCCAGCCCTGTGTATCTAAATACCCTAAATGTTACCACTTGGATGTTCCATAAGCATTTCAAATTCTACCTGGCCTGGAATGGAATATTGGCCTTCTCTTTCAATATGCTCCTTCTTTTGTGTACCATTTAGGGTGCCACCTGTACCAGAAATATGACTTTTAGCCTTTTGATGCATCTTCTTCACTGCCTGTATCCAATTGCTTAGGGTCCATCTTTTTTGCATCTCAATGTCCCTCAGATGTATCCCCTCCACTTTATTCCACTTTTGTTCAAGCCCCATCATGTTTTTGTCTGCCTTGTCATAATGGCATTTTCCATGGTCTGCTTGCCTCCAGTCTTGCTTTACAGTTTGTGTTTTGTAGCAAAATGATCTTTCTAAAATGTAGACGTGATGATGCAATTTTTAAAATTTTTTACAATTCTTAATAATCCACCAAAGATCCCCATTATCTCTGGGATAAAATCCAAACCCTTTGTGTGGTTTAAAAGTTAGAATTGTTTTCAGCTGCAAATAATAGAATACCTCAACTTGGTGGCCTAAACACATAGGAGTTATCTTACCCACATAACAAGCAGTCTGGTGGTAGGTGGTTGCTAGCATTGGTCCATTGGCTCAAAAATGTAGGAGCCAACATACCTGTGATTCTCATGGCTTTTCTTTTATGCTTGTCATTTCATGGCTGCAAAGTGGCTGCTGTTGCTCTTGCCCTCATTCAAAATTGAAAGAAGGCAGAAAAAGGAAGAAAATTCCAGTAGATCTCCTTTCGTGTTTCATTGGACAGAACTGTGTCACATGGCCATCTTTAGCTGCAAGGGAGGCTGAAAAAGTAAGAAAGTAGTCTAGCTTTTTCAACCTCCAGACCAGTAGTTCATAACCAGGGCTGATTTTGTCCTATAGGCTGATTTCTGGCAATGTCTGGAGACATTTTTGGTTGTAACATCCAGCACTGGGGGTGCTGCTACTGGCACCTGGCAGGTGGAGAAACATCCTACAATGCATTGGACAATCCCCACAACAAGGAATTAACTGGTCCAAGATGTCAGTAGTGCCAAGGTTGAGAAAAATGCTTTAGAGTAGAGACCAGCAAGGGAGAAGGAACTTGGGGATGGTTTGAGGTTTCCAGTCTGCAGATTTTTTTTTATGGCTTGCTGGGGCTTTTTGTGCCTGACCTTGACTTCTCCATGCTCTTATTTAGTTATAGCCCTCCCTGACCAAGACCTCACTCCAGTTATTCCAAATCACTTGCCAGGCCTTTTCTTATGCTTTTGCACAGTTATTTCCTTTTCCAAGAATTCTTCTCTTTAGTCCTGGACTGGCTAACTCTCTCCCAGTCTACAGAACTCTTTCTGTGTCATCTTGTCCTCTCTCTCCCCACCCTGACTTAGGTGCCCATTCACCTAAGAACCATCCATGTGACCTCCCCATGCATGTTTTGTTTCTCCCTTTCTCACCACTCGGATTGGAGGAATTAACATTTCTTGTTTTAACTATTTGCAAGCAACCC